TCAGCCCCCACACCCTTTCACGTGACTTGCCCTCACCCCTTCTTCCGAGTTCACCCACTTGCATGTCCAGCAGGAGGCCCTTCCTGGCACCTGGGTCTCCCTCATTGCGGCCCTCAGTCCAAACTTGCCGAACTTGTCAGTGGAGTGAGTGGGTGAGTGGGTGAGTGGGTGGGTGAGTGAGTGGGTAGGTGAGTTAGTGAGTGAGTGGGTGGGTGAGTGGGTAGGTGAGTTAGTGAGTGAGTGAGCAAGTGAGTAGGTGGGTGAGTGAGTGAGCGAGTGGGTGAGTGGGTAGGTGAGTTAGTGAGTTAGTGAGTGAGTGGGTGAGTGGGTAGGTGAGTTAGTGAGTGAGTGAGCAAGTGAGTAGGTGGGTGAGTGAGTGAGTGAGTGGGTGGGTGGGTAGGTGAGTTAGTGAGTTAGTGAGTGAGTGGGTGAGTGGGTAGGTGAGTTAGTGAGTGAGTGAGCAAGTGAGTAGGTGGGTGAGTGAGTGAGCGAGTGAGTGGGTGGGTGAGTGAGTGAGTGGGTAGGTGAGTGAGTGAGTGAGTGAGTGGGTGGGTGGGTGAGTGAATGGGTAGGTGAGTTAGTGAGTGAGTGGGTGGGCGAGTGGGTAGGTGAGTTAGTGAGTTAGTGGGTGAGTGGGTGAGTGGGTAGGTGAGTTAGTGAGTGAGTGAGCAAGTGAGTAGGTGGGTGAGTGAGCGAGTGAGTGGGTGGGTGAGTGAGTGAGTGGGTTGAGTGAGTGGGTGAATGAATGAGTGGGTGGGTGGTTGAGTGGGTGGCTGGGTGGATGCACGCCACCTAACTCGGCCCTCAATACTTCCTCCACCTTGGTGGGGCTGCATGTAGGGAGGACTCCGACCTCCAGACGAGGGCCTGGCATCTGGTGACAGGACAGCATCCATCCATCCTCCACTCACCTGCTAGAAAATCCTTCATTTGGGGGCTAGCAGGTGGCGTGGTGGTTAAGGGCACTGGACTCCCACATGGCAGTTCGAGTCCCAGACCTGTCGGCTTGTTTTCTCATTTTCTCTCTTTCTCTTTCTCTATCTCTCTTTCACTCACTCTGTCACTCTCTGGTTGAATTAAAATTTAAAAATAAGATAAATAAAATAATTCTTTTAAAAAAAGAAAGTCCTTAGTCTCATAAAGCCAGGACCTCTCCGTTGTATTAATGCCCTCTCCCAGCTGCCAGCTTTGCTCGGAGGTCAGAAATGGCGCAGCTCCCTCCGCCCCTGAGAGAACCCCAGCTGGTGCCCTGTCCCCTGGGCCGTCCTCAGCAGAGCCAAGGTGGGGCTGGTGTTTAGATCAGATAGCTCATGCATATGCTCGCACGTGCGCTCTCTCTCTCTCTCTCTGTCTCTTATTTAGCTTATGTGTTTATTTCTTCTATGAGCAAGAAAGACAGGATGACAGACAGACAGACAGTAGCCCCACAGGGTTTGTTCCCAGCCTCAGCTACGCACGGCTCGTGGGCGCACACATGCCTGGCACACTCAGGGAGGGCTCTGGGTGCAAGCCGGGAACCTTCCCATGTGGGTTGGCCTTGCAGAGCATTGCATTTTATTTCAGGTCAGACAGCTGTCAATCACAAGTTACAACCCTCTGGGCTTGGAGCACGTGCGCTCGCCGAGCCAGCCCTCTTCACGTGACATTGCCTGAGTTTTCGATGTTCGGGACACATTTCCACTTTCTTTAAACACTGTGCAGACCAAACAAAACCTCCCTGAAGGTCTCAAGGCTGCCATCGGAGACGGCTAAGCAGGGCGAGCAGAGAATGGCGGTGCCTAGAGCAAAGGCTTAGCTGCTGGGAGAAGCCCCGTCCGTGTGTGGGACAGCTACAGAGAGGCGGACTTTGGGGCAAAGATTCCTCCAGCACCCTGTGGCAGCAAGCAGCCATTACTATGAATATCTGGGTCGTTGGAAAAGCCATGACGTATTTTTCTATGCAAAAAATGTATCCTGACTTCTCGGATGAGCCAGTGATTCCTGTAGTACCGAAGTCTCCCACACGGTGCTCCGTGGCATGCTCCTTTTGCGTAATTGATAGAACACACACGGGCCAGCAGGTGGCGTGGTGGGTAAGGTACTGGACGCCCACGTGGCTCTCACAGATTTGAGACCCAGACCCAGTAGCTTGAAAACCACACTGGGCACGTGTGCACGTGTCACCAAAATCCTGAAAGGGGAATGAAAAGAAGGGATTGCAGCATGGCCTTACGCCCGGGCGTGATTTCTCACTTTCCCTTTCTCCATCTCTCCCCAGCAAGCACATGCACCCTATGGCCAAGAAGAAGCACAAATGTTACCCCAGTAGAAGGATCCAGGCAAGCTGCTAGCGTGACTTTTACCATAAAGTCACATCAATCGTGTCTCTGCAGCAGGGGTCCCCAGCCTCCGGGCCACAGACTGCCACGGGTCCCTATTATGACAGTCATAAAAATAGCAAGCACAATCAATGCAGTGTGTTGGAATCATCCCAAAACCACCCGCCCAAACCCCTGTTTGTGGAAAAATTGTCTTTCATGAAACTGATTCTTGGTGCCGAAAGGTTTGGGCCCCGTGGCTCTGCGGTGTGCGGAAAGCGTTCACACACACCCCTGCCGTAGAGCTCACAGCAGACGAAGGTATTTTCCTCCCATTTCGTCGATGAGAACATTGTCTCTGAGGGATAAAACGGGGCCCGGTCCACCCTAAATTCAGTGTAGAACTAAGGCCCAGACCTGACTCCCTTGCCCGGTGCTCTGTCTTCTGGTTATGATGACGTAACCAGAAGTCTGGGGAGAGTAGGCGGGGCCTGGCGCTGGGGGCGGAGCTGGCCAGGAGAGAGGAGGGGACAGAGGTGCTCCTCTGGCCCTCCCCCGTCCAGCCTCCTCTCCCCTTCCCCGCCCATAGCTTTAGAGTTGTCAAGTTAACAACCTGGGGAGAACTCAGGCCCCCAATATGCCATATTTGGCCCTGGGCGTTTTTATTTTTTTGTGAGAGATATTTCTGCTATAGGGTACCTGCACTTGCCAGAGAGACAGAAAGTGAGAAATCACCCCCGGGGGAATGGCTATGCTGCAACCCCTTCTCCATTCTCCTCTCAGAATTCTGGGGCACACACACATCCGGAGGCCAGAGTGCATGGGCTCATTGCACAGGTAATGGGGAGCCTCCATGGTGGCTGAGCAGGAGAGAGGAGAATTCTGAGCCTGGAAGACTTCTCTGGGAAAGTAGAGATGGCGGGTCACTCACAGCCGGAACGGGGCGCAGACATGAGCGGGTGGGGTGGCGTCTTGGCTTCCTGTGGCTCCCTAGCAAATCACCACAAACTGGTAGTTTCAGACAGAAGAAGTTCTTCTGCCATAGCTTTGGAGGGCCACCTCCCTCTGAGGGCTCCCGGGAAGGAACTTCTCCCTGTTCCTTCCAGCCACTGGTGGCTCCGGATGTTCCCAGGGTTGTGGTTGTATCAGTCTAACTTCTGCCTCGGTCTTATTTTTTTAAGAAAGATTTTTGCTAGAGGGCATGTGTACTACCAGAGAGACAGGAAGTGAGAAATCACCCCCCAGGGGGA